TTCGGTTCCGGCACTGGGGCGGTCCTAATATCCCCAGACGGACAACACTACCCTGTAGTAGCAAAGTTGATGTTCATATGTACCAATAATATAGCCGAGTACGAAGTTTGTATCCTCGGACTCCAAGCCGCGATCGAAATCGGAGTAACCAAGTTGAAAGCATTCGGTGATTCTGCATTAATTATTCTACAAACTGCAGGGGAATGGACGACAAGGGATGCTAAACAAGTGCCATACCATGAATACCTCGAAGAAATCATGGAGGAATTTGAGGACATCTTCTTTGAGTACTTGTCGAGGTCCTACAACCAGTTCGCTGATGCACTAGCTACATTATCATCCATGCTGCAAGTAACTGGTGGATTGAAAATAGAGCCTCTAAAGATAGAAGTCCTGACAAAATCGGCCTACTGTATGGCCATGACTGAAGAACCTGACAGAAAATCATAGTATTATGATATCATGAACTACATCCAGAAGCAGGAGTTTCTTAAAGGAAACACACTAGTTGATAGGAAGTACAAAATGAAAATGGCTTCAAAGTTCTTCGTCAGTGGTGACAGCTTATATAAAAGATCCTATGACTCAGTGTTGCTGAGGTGTGTGGATACGGTTGAAACTACCAGAATCATGCAAGAAGTACATGAGGGAGTGTGTGGTCCGCATATGAATGGCCACATGTTAGCTAAGAAGATCACGAGGTTGGGCTATTATTGGCTCACCCTTGAAAGTGACTGCATCTAACGTGTCCGAAGTTATCATCGTTGTCAAGTTGATGGGAATTAGATAAATGTCCCTTCGACTAAATTGCACCAATTGTCCGAGCCATGGTCCTTTTCAATATGGGGCATCAATGTGATTGGCCCAATGAATCCCAAGGCGACAAATGGACATCGGTTTATCTTGTCCGCAATTGATTACTTCTCCAAGTGGATCGAAGCTGCATCTTATGTGAACGTCAATGCACGGAACGTTGTAAGATTCATCCGGTGAGACATAGTTGCTAGTTATGGCATCCCCAAAGCTATTGTCACCGACAACGGGACAAATTTGAATAATAAGATCATAGATCAGTTGTTCAATGAGTTCAAGATCCGGCACCTGAATTCGTCTACTTATCGTCTACGGATGAATGAAGCGGTTGAAGCCGTCAACAAGAACAGCAAGAAGATCTTAGCCAAAACGGCCGAAAACTATCGTGACTGGCATGAAAGGTTGCCCTTCGCACTAATGGCGTATAGGACTTCAAACCGAACCTCTGTCGGGGCAACCTCTTTTTCTTTAGTGCATGGCATAGAAGCAGTCCTACCCGTAGAAGTAGAGATCCCTTCCTTACGAGTCTTGTCTCAAGTGGAGTTGTCCGAGGCAGAATGGACGTGACAAAGACGCAAGCAGTTGAACTTAATTAATGAAAAGCGACTGAAAGCCATTTGTCATGGTCAAACTTATCAGCAGAGGATAGCGAAGTCTTTCAACTGAAAGGTGCGTCCAAGACACTTCGAAGTAAATGATCTAGTCCTGAGGAAAATACTACCAGTCATTCATGTTCTCGAGGGCAAGTTAGCCCCAAATTACAGTGGTCAATATGTGGTTAAAAAGGTGCTTCCCGGAGGTGCCCTGATTTTCGTAGAAATGGACGGTCGTGAGTTTTTCAATCCTGTTAATTCTAATGCTGTGAAGAAATATTATCTCTGATAGAATCTAACACTATATAGTGAAAGTTTTTGAGTGTTTGGTTTCTATATTTTGAATTATAAACATTTCACTAATGAATAAATGGTCTCAATCAATTTCAAGTTGAGATGTGTGCATTGGTCTTAAATTCTTCATGGTTATTTTGTTAGTCTAAATCATCGATTTCAGAAGGGGGGATCTATTTAGACAATCTAATAAATCATGTGGAATGAGTTGAGTGTGTCGAATGAGATGTATCGAGATGATGAAAGGCAAACCATGTCCCATACACAGTCCCAAACACTAATTCCTAGTGAGTTGAGTGAAGAATGCTATGTCCACAAGGTAAAGGATTATCTTGCAAAAGGTACGACATCTTAAATGACAGGAGGCATTTCATTTCTCTATCTTAAACACCACAAGTTATCCATTGCTTCACCATTTTGAGCCTAAATACTTGGATAAGTTCTTCCAAGTTATCCCTGTCAAGAACCACCTCACTTCGGGGCAAACTAGAGGTAAGTTGGCATCGTGAGGTGAAAAATGGATAGGGATTGTCTTGCTTTCACTTGCATCAATCTTCAAGTGTTGCTTTTTCAGATGATCTCATATGAAGTTCAAGTGCCTTAGGATGACGAAAGGCGGTCCTATCTTTATCCTATACACATTCTATCCTTTGTTAAACCCAATTGAGCCTGCAAATGCATTTCTCCAAACCCAGTTGGTGATCATCCCCACACTGGGGCAAAGTATAAGCCATTTCCATCTAGGCGGCATGTCCAAAGCATCAACAGAAAATGAAGACCCCCAAGAGTCCAAATGTCATAAGCCAAAGCATGGTTGACTAACATAGGCATTGTAGACACTATGAATCAAAAGTTGAGTTAAAAAAAGTTCAAAAAAGAAAGGAAAATGAAATAGGGGGCACAAAAGCAGTGTGCTTGGAAAAAGCAAGGCCGATACCCAATAGAGAAAAATGAAATATGTGTGTCAAAGTTATCCCTAATGGAGCTGTGTCCAAAGGATCCAGGCTGATTATGCATTTACAAAGACAACCCATGGTGATGAAGAAGAACACTGGTGGCAATGCCGGGATGATCACCAACTCTTTTACCCCAACTATACGCATCTTTGAGCCTAATGATCCTTTCGTTTCTCAACCTGCGAATTTAGCCTGCGTTACGTCCCTTATAAAGAGCACTTGAACTGACGTAGGATTTTGGATGCTTATAAGCTCAGCTCAAAGTAGTGCGAGCAAGTCCATTTCTATCTCATTTTGCAGAGTTCTTGACTTGTAAACCCAAAGATAATTGCGAAGTACCATTTTTTCAATAGCCACGACTCGAAGAGTCTCCTTTGCTAAGCCATTGACCAAGCCCACGTTTTGGTCCTAATAAAGACCTCTAAGATTGGTAGGGCCGTATTGCTTGCGAGAATGTTCGGACCCTTGTCGACATAATGATGGTGAGATGGAGCGATTCTTATAAAATAGCCTCTTTTGGTGAGAATGACATAAAGTCCTTCCGGACCAGAAGTCTCTCATTCGACATGTTCAAGACACGCACTTGCCAGTTTGAATTGTCTTGTTATGATTCCCCCCGGTGAAAATTTAGTAATGCTAATTTGACAAAATTGTTATGCATGAAAACCAGTTGAATTTATAGTGTATGAGTATATGTATTCTTGATTGCCCACGAATGCTTATTTTATGCTACCTAAAATCACATCTAGTAGGAGACGTGCCCTCAAGAGTCGGAGATATCAATAGGCAAGCATATCTCTACCCCTTTTGGATGCCTGTGACTATCCAGGTATCCCCAACCTATGCGAGTAATCATCAGGCCCTCATATTTGATCATTTTGTTGCAGTCTTTAGATGCCTCTGACGGTATCCAGGTATCTACCGATCAAGCCTTTTCAAGTACCTCTGATGATATCTGGGTGCTTTGTCAAGGAACCCCTGAGCATTCGGGCTAGCCCCATTTGTTCGCCCAATCGTTAAATACCTATGATAATATCTAGATATTTATTGATCAAGTCCTTTCAAATATCTCAAACGATAACTAGATACTTCGTTAGGCACATCTTTCAAACGAGTTGGAGAGTTCCTTCGTTGAACACCTCCGATGATACTCAGGCGTTCAGCGGTTAAGCTTTTACAAAGACCTCTGACGATATCCAGGTATTTTGTTAAAGTTGGAATAAACTCCAATTTGTTGAACCGCTTTTCGGGTACCTCAGACGATAACTAGATATTTCATTAAGCCTCCTTTCTAGCAATTTGGAGAAAACCCTGTATTGGGCACCTCTGCCGATATCCAAGTGCCTAATGGATAATTTTCTTGAGTACCTATGATGATATCCAGATATTTCGACAAAAGGTGGGATGAATTCCATTTTGCTAAATTATCGTTGGACGCCTCAGACGATATCCGGGCGTTCACCGGAAGGTTTGCTTCAAGTATCTCTAACGATATCCAGATATTTGAAGTAGTCTTCCACCCTTTGATCTTTAAATCCCTCAGATGATATCCAGATTTCCCTTGATCACCATCTTCGATTACCTTAGACGACATCCAGGTAATTCGAACCACTCTTCATGTGTCCTAACCAAGTTCCAGGTCATCAAAGTCCCTCTACAGTTTATCAGGCAACATCTTTGGGACAAAGCCCAAATGATTGTCAAATGATACAGAACCAGTCATGCATTGAATTACATTACCACTCCCGTCAGGTAATTAACTCAAAGTATGTTTTATTCACGTCAACATGCATCATGACATATTGCATTTCAAAAGGGAATTAATACTCCCACAAAAAATAACATCCATTGCATTCGCATGATCAAAATTTAGGCATCATTTAGTCTTTGAATGCAACCTCTTTGAGCTCACCTTCAAAGTGGGGGAGCTGTTGATACTTAAATTTTGGCTAACCATTTAATAATCAGTGCATAGAAAATTAGGGATTAATCTCTAACCCCTAAACAAAAATATTAAAATTAGATTGCATAGCATATAGTTTAGAATTATATAGTTTAACTACATTTTTGCATTGGACCGGCGGTGGCAAATGAACTTAAAGTCAATCGCGCAAATCTAGCTTGCATAGTGAGCAGTACTCGGCCAAGCTAGGGAGACAGTCGAAAATTTCAAGGGTAAAAGGGCCCTGGTTGTCTTAATTTAAGCTTAAATTAGCCCAGTAAACTTTAATTAAAGAAAAACCCAAGACAATTCAACCCGTTCAGAAATTAAATAGAAAAAGCCCAAGTTAATGCCATTATATTATAAAAGTCCGGCCAATTAACCTAGGTTTAGATTATAAATATGTCGTTATACCCCTTTGATTGGAAGAGGAGGCAATCAGAAATTTTGATAGCACAAGTGATACACGTGAAGAATTGTGAGAGTAAGAACGAGAACGAGAAAGAGAAAGCAAGGGAGACCGGCCGTGCCCTTCACGGCCGATCGCCCCTTGCCACACCCCCGATTGCTGCTGTCGCAGCCCCGCCTCCTTACGACCAAACTCACGGCCATGAGGCTGCACCTGTGCCCATGCCTGCGCCCGCGTTTCTGCCGCGGTGCCTGGCCCGCCGCTGCTCCTGCCGACGCCGCCACTGCTGCTGTTTCTTTGTCAACGGTGAGCCCGCTACCACTGCTTCCTTTTGTTGCCGATCCGTCTGCTGCCCCGTGACGAGTCACACGCACCACACCATCACTGGCACCATTGCTCCCTCCTCGCGGTCAGACCCGTAGCCGCGAGCCCCTGCTGTGCTACCATTGCCGCTAGGTTGGGTAACTGCGAGCTCCCGCGGCTGCTAAGCCACCCGCCGGCATTCACCACCCACTTGACCGACCCAAATCCGATGCCCCGAGTTGCACCATCATTGTTCTAGTGCCTTGCGAACGTTGTCTGCCGCCGCTGCCTCGGCGAGTCTGCCGCCGCCTCCCTCACGGCCAAACCTATGGCCGTGAGCCGTGACCCTCGTCGATGTCCGGTGTCGTCCCAACAAATCCCGTTGCTATGGTACTTGGTTGAACACAAGCTAACCGCCCAACACCGCCCCCAGTCCGTCCCGGTGTTCCCTATCACAGCCGTGGCCGTAGTATCCCTCCACCGTCATGACAAGTGTTTTTGTTTTGTAGAGTGAGCAGAGCACTACTGCGAGCACCGCCGCCATCGCTGCCACCGATCCACTGCCGTCGGTCACCACGCATTCCGCAATCCCAGCCCGAAGCCGATTTCGAATTTGGAAGATATCTACAAATTAGGTAAGAGTATTATCCAATACCACTTTAAAATTTTAAATTCTCGATTTGGATGATATGTTATCTTTTGTGAATCTTTAGATATATTTTGGTAATGCATGGCATATCCGCAAGATTTTCAAAAGATACCCTAAGTTAGGAAATTCCTAACTTAACAACGTGCTTGGATGACTATCCGATCTCAACCTTGAGATATGATACTCGGCGAGACGAAAAATTGTTATTCTATCCGTAACCACTTGGATACAATAATATATTTTGTTTGTTCCCAAATTTAAACAAATAGCCTTCCATCAATATCCATAATCATATGGATATGATTGCTGGTTTATATCGTTTCCTTAATTCAAAGATGATAAAACAAATCTTGCGAATTGTGTGGATTGAATTTGACCGTGGTGGTTATCTGTTTGTTTGATCTTGTTTCCTCTAGAAGAAAATCCCAAAAAGATTAGTTAGGATTTGAATCAATTTTTTAAGATAAGGATGCATGTTTAGGATAGGTTTAAATAACTTCGTTCGAATAGAATATGATAACCTAGATTTGCTAGAAAGATAGGATAATTTTTCAATTTAAATTAGGATTTAAAGTAATTTATTTCCTAGTTTAGGTTAGAAATTATCCTAATCTTGATGGTTTATTTAAGGTGATTTCTAATTTCGAATTTTCATAAAAAATTACCAAAAAGAAGTCACTTTAGGATAGGTTAAATTATCTTTTCTAGAATAGATTGTATTTTAATTTAGGAAATTTTTTTAATTCCGAATTTTCATTGAAAAACACCAAAAATATGTCATTTGCCCATCATTAGAGTTAGCCCATTTAATCGCATGTCATATAGTTCACATGCTAGGTTTAACTAATCACATGTTATACTTTGTACGTCATGGCACATAAGCTAGTTTTCATTTAATCAAGAGAAAACCCAACAACATACATTGAGTGAATTGCTTGTTAATTAGAAATCATATTAGGATTGTAGCTAATAATAGAGATGCTTACGTTGCTTCGAGGTACGTCATTCTCCCCATCTAGTAATTTATTTATTGCTTTCATTATTGGGTGTTAATTCGGTGGTTTGCACACCCACATGATCACCCCACATGTTAGGAAGTAATAAAATGGATTCAGATTGCCTACTCAAACATTTTCATGAAAAGAAAATGTACCGAAAGGGCGTTAGAGTAATATAGCATAACCAAGTCCCCGTACTCATAATCTCTGGGTTGTAGGAATAAAGTATATCTCCCTATACTTTATTTGGGTTTTTAATCAATCCACTGTAAATAGATTAATGGCGACTCCGAAATGAAAATCATTTGCATGTTAATAACTTAAACTATAAGTCGCGAATTGGTAGGGCTTGGGAGGGCTCAAGTAAGTTTTGGACTTAATAATACATTAGCCTAACCCAACCCATAGGAGGTGAGGTAGCAATATCGGCCTACAATATTGGTTTATTCTTTGTCAAGTTCTTACGAGCACCTTCGTGATTCTATGTTGGGTGGGAGTGAGACTATATCCACAAAGCCAAAGAAAGCAGAGAGATCGAAGAGCGAGACAAAGGTCACGCGAACTAAAGGGGAGGAGTTGGGCTATGTTGTGTGCACTCTCGGACGTTTGATGATGCTCTCTTTGAACTGATTGCGGTGTTGGTGTTTTATTGAAATTTTTTGTTTGTTGGGTGTGAAATTTGGGTGGGGGTAGGGGTGAGCAAGATGGACCGTCCAAACCGGGACCGGACGGGACCGATCGGTTTGGTCCGGCTCTCGGGAATATCGGTCCGGTTCCTAAAAGTGGAACCGGTTTCCGGGCGGTCCGGTTCTCAGTTCTAGGATGGGAACCGGACCGGACCGACCGGACCAGACCGATAAATATATATTTTTCTAATTTTTTCATATATATATTTATTTACTTTTTAAATTTTTTTTTAAAAATAAAAAGCCTAATCTAATTTCCTTTATTTTCTCTTGCCTTTATCAATAAGTGATTGGTCCCATTGGAACCGGACCAGACCGGATCGATGGTCCGGTCCACGGTCCCAAGACTAGCCAGTCTGGTCCCTAGTCCTAGAAACTAGGAACTGTTTCTCCCGATCCAGTTCCCGATTCTTGTCACGCCCCGAACCCCTACGAGCTCGCGACATCCCCTGCTGCGGTCGAAATGATGTGACGTCCCAGGAACATCGCCGACCCAACCCAAACATCAGAGCCACATGCGGAAGCGAATAACAAAACCCCGGACAGAAAGATGACGACGACGGGGTAGACCACCATAACAATCAAACAACATTTTATACAGCCACTGCACCAAATATATGCAAACATTGTATTACAGACATATACAGCAAACCAGCATCCGAAATCACCGTCATAACAAAAGATCAGGGTCTGGTTAACTTAACTTCCCTATCGGATAACCTAAGTTATACAACCCCCAATAAAATGCCCTAGGGAAAAACCTAAGGGTCACCTCCTTCCTTCATATTCCCACTTCGCTTGGTTTGATCCTCCGGAAGACCTCTTAGGCATCGCCTGCAATTCCACTGGGCTCCCTGGGCGACTCCTCAAAACTCCAAAAAGAGGAGGCGGGCCTCCTGGGTCTAAGGCTGGGGGTCTGAAAGTGGCGGTTATACAACCGTGAGACGAATCTCAATAAGTGTACAACCCCAAACCCCACATAAGCACTCACGTACCGCCAGACGAAAACACGCATAACACACAATCTATCAACCAAACTAACAATCACACGCGACCCTACCTGAAATTCCTCATGCACGTCCCTGCACGTTAGTCAACCACACAGCCAGTATGTCACATAAATACATCACAGCCGCGCGCGTGCCCCGATTATAGAGTAAAACCCACTTGGGCACGTCCCATACCATGCCTAGCGGTTTTTACCCCATAATCGAGCGTCACACCACGCGATACAAACACACTCGCACACCAATTCACACCACGCGTCACTTTCTTAATTTCACTCGTCCCACCAATTCTTGCTCATTCTCAACCTTTCCACCACTATCGCGCCCGCGTAAAACGCATCAGGCCAACGGTCTTCTGACCTCGTCAGGCATCGTCACCCCGTCGGGCCGGGCATCGTCACCTCGTCAAGGACGGCATCGTCCCGCGTAAACGTACACACCTCAGGACGGAATCCTACACACACTTTCCTTCTACCGCGCCCGCGTAAAACGCATCAGGCCAACGGTCTTCTGACCACGTCAGGTATCGACACCTCGTCAGGCCGGGCATCGTCACCTCGTCAGGGACGGCATTGTCCCGCGTAAACGTACATGCCTCAGGACGGACCTTTTTCCAATCAATCCTACACATCCGAACCTTCGTTCCACACTCTCTATACGTACCACGCCACCACACAAACACACTGCCAAACATACACACTTCACACACATTTCACATTTACACAACCTCGTCACGCGAACACTACACAAACACCCAAGCTTGGCACGCGAACTCAATGCGCAATCACGCCACCACACCTCACAGCCACACAATCACACATACGAGCTCATTCAAGCATCAAACTACCCGTCAAAATGCCATGATAACACCGAATAATTCTCGAGAGAGAGAAAAATCGAGAATATATAAAATCGGGTCAAAACTGGGCAGTTTACACAGTGACCGAAATCCCAATAAAATAAATAGTAAACGAATTCCAAAAATTCTAAATTTTGGATATGTCATAAAAAACATCTTGATCAACATTTCTAATGAAGAACACGAAATCTGGTTCAATCTGTAACCATGCCTTTTTATCCCTCGAAGTTAGACCAAAATCAGTTTGCTCAAACAAACTGTTTTGTCCTCAAAAAACATTTATTTCAACACCCAAATCACCTTGAAAATATTTGAAATTTTTATATGTTATACCCACAAATGTCCCCAACAATTTTTGTGAAGGAAGTATTTTGAAAATATTCCTGGAAAAATTTATAAAAATTCGAACAGACCCGAAGGTCGGGTGAACAGTAAATCGGGCAGTTTTATTTCGGTCCAAAGATGGATTTCCGAATGGCATCAAATGATTTCCAAAAATTCCAAAATTAAAATATGTTATACTTCAAGATGTTGGGAATAACTTTCATGAAGAAACCTTCCTCAAATTCGGGCCACACAAGTCACAGTAAAAATAACAAAAACCAGCGACGCAGCAGCAACCTAACTGGAAATCAGCCAACACACACCACCGAGCAAACCAGCCACTAAACTCACCCTAAACGGAGCCCTAAACAAGCCTAACAATACCCGAGGTCCTAGGCGACATTTGGGGAGGTCACTTACCTAAGAAAGACGAGACGAACGGGCTGAATGGGTGGCTGAAATGGGCAGAACAGCAGCAGCGGCAGCCATGGTGATGGGAGGAACAAGGATGAAGAGAATGAGAGAGAGAGAGAGAGAGGGGGGGGGGGGGAGGCTGATCGTGAGGGTTCTGGCCAGAATGAGGGGGAGGAGAGAGAGAGAGAGAGGGGTCAGAAATAGTGGGCCTAGGGTGGACACGTGTCGGCGATCCGCAATTTTTCCCAAATTACCCTTGATCCAACGGTCCTCGTTTGTCTTTATCCAATAATTCAAGGGCAAGGTGGTAATTCAATAATTCCAATTTCTTTTTCACTTATTTTAGTCCTCAATTATTGCCCAAAATTGTCCAAAATTCGGAATTCCCAATACCGGGTCCAGGGGCAAAATGGTAATTTTCCGGTCCCGGGGCGAAATTCCAATTTTCGCACATACGGGTTCCATATGGGTGTGGCCAACATAATATGGCGTCGGAATCGTGAAAATAGCTTCTTAAGCCCTCGAAAATCGACTGCAAAGTCCTGGGAATAAAATATTATTATTTTTCACTTCTGAGCCAAAATTCCAATTTTTGACCGAAACAACTCTAAATGCGCGTGGCCACCCCAAAATGACACTAGCCTCGAAAAATAACCTCAAACGACCTCAAAATCCAACATCGGTGTCCACAGGGGCAAAACCGTAATTTTTCCGGCCCCGAACAGAAATCCATTTTTTTGCAGAAATGGGTGGCCCCAAGGTTGGCCAAGCCAAAAACGTCATCGGCCGCTCAAAATTGTCACTTTCAAAATTCTCGATTCCCAGGCCCGAATTCTAAGAAATGACTAAGATTGAACAATCGCGACTTTAGTTTATCTCAGGCTAACGGGTGGCTCATTAGGATTACGCGCTCTCGACCCATGACCGACACTAAGTCAAATCACGTTTAAGTTTGCTCGAGCCAAGGCGACCTCGATCGTCATATAATTGCGAGGGTCTGTCACTAGTGCCCTTTAGACACGATCAATCAAATAGATCGGTTTCGGTTGGCTCAAAACATTCCCTCGTCAATCCATATGGTCGAAAATCGAACCAAGGTCGAGTTCTTTGGTCGTGCGAACTCAATCCCGTAATAGCCTTACCCCTAAGGTTAACATCCCGAGAATGCGCGGATCCCGGGTGAGATCTCACTATAGTGCATTGGTCAAATTCATTTCCTAAATCCCGGGAAAAGGATCGAAAATTCAGACTGTTACAATTCTTGGGTTGGATCGGATTGGACCGGGAGCCGCTCACCCCTAGGTGGGGGGAAGTTTGTGCTGCGCTTGATTATTGTTTAGAGGTAATATTGTTTGAATTATTCCCTGGTGCGACATGATGATGGTGATGGTGATAATTTTGGGATTTGAAGGGCTTGAGTACGAGTACGTACCTGTAAATTTGGTGAAGGGGGAGCAATTCGGTGCAGGCGAGTCCTTTAGCTGTTCCCTCTGTTTTGGTTTTTCCCGTATTATCCTTAGGTGATCGGGTGCTCTGGTCGTGTTTATCGTTTGCTTTATCCTTGGAAGGCCTGCGGTTAAGCCATTCCTACGTTACAATCAGCTTGCATGAACATGTTGGGCACTCTTGAATATGGTCATAATTCCTTATCTGTTGGCTAGGTGATAGGATGGGAAACTTGTCTCAACATGGCTATGTTTTTGAATCCGACTGTATGAAGTAATCCGTCAACTTATGGTTTTCAACATTTGATGTGTTAGTTCTTTCCTCGAGCAGTGGAATATTTATCGCTAAAGGTGGTTGAAGAAAGTCTTACGCAGGGAATCAAATGTCAAGATTACTGAAATACCCCATATAGACTGAGAAGCAATGATGCTGGGTGTGGAGAGTTTGCATAAGACTATAAGGAAATTTTTTTAAGTCTCTAATGTTTTTCTAAATGTTTGTTTTTTGGTTCTCTTTGTTTCCTCTATAGCCGTCCCAATGATCTATCTGTTGGCACCAGTTGCGTTGTCATGTATGACCAGATTTGTCTTTAACTATGTCATAAGTTCCTCCAAGAAAAAGACTTGCTTGCACTTAGTTACCTTTGAGCCGTTTGAGATTGTCATAATCTACCAAGTGAGGGCATGCTGCCAGTTATTTCTCCAGACACGATACTGTGAAAATGTTATTCTATCATATGCCTTACTGCATATTGCCCGCTTTACATCCTTTCTTTCGGGAAATTTATTTTACCTATAGGACAAAGAGAGAGTGTATTATAGCAAGAATAACAAAGACATGTATGTATGTCAGTTACCCGATTGTGACATTCTTTGATTTTCGAAGTACTAGGTAGAAGCAACTTTACCTTTTTGGCTTGGCAGTAGGTAGTCAAGTCCTCCATATTCGAGATGGGAAATGGTTCTTCTCACTGCCGTTTTACTTTTTCAAATGGTAGAGTTCTCAAAGCTTAATCCAATTACTTATGTGCCCGCGTTGGCTGATGGGGACTTTGTACTGACAGACTCATTTACTATCCTAATGGTGAGAATTTGCAACTTTCAATTCCTTCACATATCATATTACTGGGCATAGAGGACTCTTCATCATTTTAGAGACTTTCTCGTGTAGGCTGTGGCGTGTAATGTGTCGTTAATTATGCCTTGCAGTATCTAGAAGAGAGATATCGTCAACACCACCCGCTCTTGCCCAGTGATTTGAAGAAAAGGGCAATCAACAATCAGGTAAAAAGGTTATCAACAATCAGGTACAAAGGTTATTACTTTTGGAGGCTTTTCCTTCTCTTCCATGTCTATCTGTGAAGAATCTAGCAACATTGTAAACGCCTTAATAAGTTTAAAATTGTTCCACTGGCTTTTTGTTGCATGCGGATCTATAAGGTGATTGCCTAGTCAATGACATGCATAAACCTTCTGCCAAAATCTGTTCAGGCATACGACTTTGCCAGAATTTCCAGTTCTAGCATTAAAGGCTGGTCATGAGGGTGACGTCAGCCTCCATCTTTCTCTTTCCCCTCAACAATACACCAAATAATCATTTTTCTAGCTAAAATTTTGCCAAATTTTCTTAAATTACCTAAATTTTGGTTGAACTATATCTATAGCTGCCTTGGGGGTTAGGCCAGAGCCAACAGCTATAAAATTCAGAAAGCGGAACACGGATTCCGGCTCTGTGGTTGGTGACAACTGAGGAATCAATTTGATGGGTGACACTCGACTGAGGTGCAATAGGGAGATGACAGCGAGGTGAAGTACCTATGTATTACGACATATGTCAAGACTGACACACAACAATGATTGGAGAATAAATACATTATTTGTTTTTTCATGCTCACTTTCTATTCTATTTATATGATCTTATGGCTTCTTTTCTATGGCCTAATTCCAAAAAAAAAATATCAATTTTAGGTCGAAAGACAATTCTGATCCAAAATTTTTTTTGTCTCATGAAAAAATACCAACTTTAGGTCAAGGGACAATTCTGGCTTGAACTTTTTTTTTCCCGTAAAAAAGCATCAACTTTAGGTCGAGTGACAATTCTGGGCCCACTTTTTGTTTTTGTCTCGTAAAAAATCACCAATTTTCACCATGATCCCAAATCTGGTCCCCCGTTGACTTTTTGTTTGAAGTCACCCTTGTTTGAGAAAAAAAGGTTATGGTGGTGAGCTTGGCGAATCTCGTCCATGGCGTCTGTCGACAAGTGGTGGTCAGCTTCAGATTACGTCTAGCTAGAGAGATTCAATCTTGAGATATTTTTTACTTACCGGTGAAGTGAAGGAAACGAATAGTTTCACCGTTATTCTTTAAGCTATGACTTAAAGAATAAGACAATGAATATTGCTTTAAATCCAGTCAACAACCTATGTTGATTTATTGCTAAGGTGGAATAGTCAAATTAAATAATCAATGGTTCTAAGTCAATGGGGGTCACATTTGGGATTTAAGTGAAAATTGATGCTTTTTTACGAGACAAAAAAAAAGTTGGGGCCAAAATTGTCACTTAACCTAAAGTTTGTGCTTTTTTATAGGACAAAAAAAAGGTCGGGCTAGAATTGTCCCTCGACCTAAAATTGATGCTTTTTTTTTGGAATTAACCCCTTTTCTGTTGAGTAACTTGGTCTTTATTGTTTAGGCTGCAAATATTGTTTCTTCAAGCATACAACCACTTCAAAATCTCTATGTTTTGGTAAATATCTAAGGAAGTTAATTGTTCCTTTTAGTAGCTACGTTCAATATACGGGAATCTGACTTAACAACTTTTGCATCATAGAAATGTTAACACATAAATTTTACTTACCCAATTAAAATTTATTTCACGAAATTTAGTGGTTAAATTTTTAACTTCAAAACAAAAATATTTTCATTCAATTGCATGTCATACAAGCATTCGGTGCATTTTGCATTATTAGAATATATTTTCTTAAATTTCTTTAAAAAAAAAGGGGAAGGAAAAAAATTTGGATTGGGCCGGGTTAAAGCCGAGTCAACCTGGCCCTCTGTTTCTTGTCCCCCGAGCCTAGCCTGCCTCTCCTCTTTTTTTTTCTTTCTCCCACGCGAGCTGGGCAGCCTAGCCTGTCCCCCTCTTTCCCTTTCGACTGGTCCGGCTCTCTCTCTCTCTCTTCCCCTCTCCCTCTCTTTCCTCACGCTTTCCTTCCCATGCGTTGAACGTCGGTCAGTTGGGTGGCGGCTGAGACATTCAGCCCAAGCAAGATGGCCAGAAAGTATATAGTAGAGCAGAGTAGGCGGAGCCGGTAGCTGTCGACAGGCTATAAAAGCCATGGAGAGGAGAAAGAGAGAGAGAGAATGGTGGGCAATTTTACAAAGAAAAACATAGAGAAAAAAAGGGATTGAAACCAGAGAGAACCGAGTGCAAAAGAGCAAGGTTTAAGAGTTTGTAGGTCATGAAAGGGAGCCAGCTAGCTTCACCATCGCCAGCAAGCTGGTCGAAGAACCCCCAGATGCGACTCGACCCGTAAAACTTCTCGATCCCTCTGTTTTCCCCTATTTTTGCATGTAGTGTGGCTGAGACTTGCACCGGCCGTTTCGTGTGATTCTTGGCCCATATCGCCTCTGCTCTTGGTCTAGACGTCGCCACCGAAGGTGAGTCCTGTCCATCAAAGCAGGCCTAGGGCCCTAAACAGGTCAATGACCCTCTTTTTTGGTTATGAGCGCCAGGTGCTCGACCAAATGCCTAAGTGAATTGTTTTCAAGTAGGGTCTCGGCCGGTGATCTTCAAGTCGGTCGGGGATTCATGAGGCTGTCATCGGTTGTGTGGTGGTTGAGTGAGGCCAAGGAAGGCCAAAAGTTGGCCTGGGTCCGCCAGCCAAGTCCCAATCGACGTTTGGGCCCAAAGGTGCCCCGGTCGAGGCTCAACCGATGACTTCTTTGGCCGGCCATCAAACAATCGGCTAGGCAAAAACCTCCTCAGCTCGAGGTGCTAAGGAGGATGAGACTTTTGGCCGGGCGAAATTGCCGGCAAAACCCGGAATTTGCCTGGTCGGCGTTCTCGCCTGTCTAAGACATGGGAGAGCAGGCCCAAAAAAACTGGCCTGCAGTCCTAGTCAGACTGATCTGCAGGCCAGCCCAAACGGTTCAACCCCTTTTGGCCTAACCTTTTTTATTTGTATCCATTGAACCGGACCCTGAACGTGTCTAGTTCGACGGGGAACTCGGGTCACTGAACCGGGTCAACCAATTCAAATTGGGTTTACAGATTCGGGTCGGTTCTGATCGAATCCAAATCTGATAACCCGACTCATATCTGATTATTTTATTATTTTAATAATATAATTTTAAATTTTAAAAAAAATTAGGAAATAGCTGAAATAGTCAGATTTTGAGTTTTTTTTTTTAAATGTGAAAATCTTTCAAAAAGAAATTTTTTAAATAAACCTTTAGGGCTATACCTTAAGATTCTAAATGTCCTAAAAATCGATGTTGTGTTGTTAGTTGTGCAATTTATTTTGATCATTATGTAATTGTATGATTTCAATATGTTAAATGTCGTCCTCTTAGTTAGGATTAGAACCCTAAAATTGCATATGCACTTTGGTTGTTACTTTAATGATTGTACACCCGCATGTTCATCTCATATGGTAGTGGATAGACTTTGAAATCAATCCAAACAGCTTGAAAAAAAAATGTTTTCAAAACTAAATAGGATGAAGTTACCGAAAGGATATTAATTATCTAACTAGTGTAACAAAATCTCCTGACTCATTTGAATTTTTTGTTCGTAAGAGTAAAACGATTCTTTCGTCGCCTCACTTGGATTTCTAATCGACCTATCCTAAATTGATTAGTGATGACTCCTAGATAAAATCAATTCGCATGTTAATAACTTAAATTATAAATCGTAAATTGATATAGATTTGAGAGAACCCAAGTTAAGTCCTTAAATTTAGCTCTGTTGAGCTCCTTTGCCTTTTCCTTCTGCTTCTACTTCTTCTTCTTCTTTTTCTTTTCCTTCTCCTCCTTCTCCTGCTTTTGCTTATCCTCCTGCTTCTGCTTCTTCTTCTGTTGGTCCTCCTCCTCCTTCTCCTCCTCCTGCTTCTTCTCCTTCTCCTGCTCCTGCTCCTCCTTCCTCTTATTCTTCTTCTTCTTCTTCTCCTTCTTCTTTTGCTTCTCCTTCTCCTTCTCTTGCTTCTCCTGCTCCTTCTCCTTCTTCTGCTCCTTCTTCTTCTCCTCCTCCTCCTTCGTCTTCTTCTTCTGCTTTTGCTTCTTCTTCTTCTTTTTGATAGCACGATTGTATGTGCACAAGTTGTGATTCTTGTTCTTCGTTTCCTTTTTGATAGCATGATTGTATGTGCACAAGTTGTGAAGGTTAGATAGATGATAGCTTTCCCTTGAGCGGATGCTTTGCTTATTTTTGGTTGATTTTCCTTCTGCATGTTCGGAGTGGTTAAATTTAGAAGCAATTTAATTGTGAAATAGTTTAGTATAGAAAAAATAATTATACTCAAGAGGAGGGAACCTCCTAGTTGCAATTATCATGAACTGACTGTTGGAAGAAGAAAGCCCCATACCATAATTATACCCACATGAAGCACATGTGACTCCGCACGTTTGTGACAGAATCACGAACTGACTGTTGGAACAAGAAAGCCCCATACTGTATCACTACTAATAACTTTAGTAAGCTCGTTTTGAGAAAAGACACTTCTATGAGCTTCTCTGTCTTCTGACCACAGTATAGGTTGGTGCTCAGTTCTTGAGGATTAGCTGTTTATGCTGCAAATTGTCTGAAGTCAAAAGTTCTTTCGGTCCTTAAAGGAATATGGGTCCAACATCTAGGTTCATTATACCTGATTAATGAAAGATAGATCGTATGCTATGCTGATGTCTGTTCAACTCCAATGGAGAGCCAGCATCCCCAGTCTGCAGACTAAAATGCTTGCCATCTTGTTTTATTTGATTGTTGGAAGTGATCGAATAAATCATGTGCAGGCCGATGTTTTCCTGGCACCCAAGATTTATGGGGCAGTCAAGAGGTTCAATATTGACATGGTAATTCTCTTGCCTAAGCATGCATAGTTCATATCATATGGAGTTCGGAATTAAATTTCATATCATATGGACTTTCTTGTGTAGGTTGTGGCCTGTAATGTATCGTTTATGCCTTGCAGTATCTAGAAGAGAGATATCCTCAGCACCACCCACTGTTACCTGATTTGAAGAAAAGGGCAATCAACTACCAGGTAAAAAGGTTATTACTTTTGGAGGCTTTTCCTTCTCTTCCATGTCTATCTGTGAAGAATCAAGCAACATCGCAAATGCCTTAATAAGTTTTAAATTGTTCCACTGGCTTTTTGTTGCATATGGATCTATAAGGTGATTGCCTAGTCAATGACATGCATAAACCTTCTGTCAAAATCTGTTCAGGCATATGATTTTGCCAGAACTTCCAGTTCCAACATTAAAGGCTAGTCGTGGGGGTGACGTCAGTCTATTTCTCTCTCTTTCCCCTCAACAATACACCAAATCATCATTTTTCTGCTAAAATTTTGCCAAATGTCCTTATATTACCTAAATTTTGGTTGAACTATATCTGTAACTGCCTTGGGGGTTAGGCCAGAGCCAACAACTATAAAATTCAGAGAGCGGGACAAGGATTCTGGCTCTGTGGGCGGTGACAACTGAGGAATCAATTTGATGGTCAACACTAGGCCGAGGTGCAATAGGAAGATGACAGGGAGGTGAAGTACCTATATATTACGACATATGTCAAGACTGACAAACAGCAATGATTGGAGAATAAATACATGATGTGTTTTTTCATGTTGACTTTCTATTCTATTTATATAATCTTATGGCTTCTTTTCTGTTGAGTAACTTGGTCTTTATTGTTTAGGCTGCAAATATTGTTTCTTCAACATACAACCTCTTCAAAATCTCTATGTTCTGGTAAATATCTGAGGGAGTTAATTGTTCCTCTCAGTAGCTGCTTTCAATATACGGGAATGTGACTAATTGTTGCATCACGGAAATGTTGACACCTAAATTTTACTTACCCAATTAAAATTTATTGCACAAAATTTATTGGTTAAATTTTTAACCTCTTAACAAAAATATTTTCATTCAATTGCATGGCATATAGGGATTAGGTGCATTTTGCATTATTAGAATATATTTTTCTTAAATTTCTTTTAAAAAAGAGAGAAGAAAAAAATATTCGGATCAGGCCGAGTCAGAGGTGGGTCAACCCAGCCCTCTCCTTCTTTTCCCCCCGGACCCAGCCCGCCTCTACTCTTTCTTTTCTTTCTCCTGCGCGAGCAAGGCTTGGCCCAGCCCGTACCCCTCTTTCCCTTCAACCGGCTCGGCTCTCTCTCTCTCTCTCTCTCTCTCTCTCTCTCTTCCCCTCTCCCTCTTTTTCCTCGCGCTTTCCTTCACGTGCGTTGAACGTCAGTGAGCTGGGCAGCGACTAAGACGTTCAGCCCAAGCAAGATGGCCAAAAAGTCTATAGCAGAGCTGGCGGAGCAAGTAGCCGCCGGCCGGCTATCAAAGCCATGGAGAGGATAGAGAGAATGGTGGGCAATTTAACAAAGAAAAACATAGAGAAAAAAAAAGGATTGAAACCAGAGAGAACCGAGTGCAAAACCATTTTGCAGAATACGAAATGGAGCCAGTGAGCCTCGCCGTAGCTAGCAAGCCGGTTAGAGACCCCCCAAACACGACTCGACTGGTAAAACTTCTTGGTCCCTCTGTTTTCCCCTGTTTTTATGTACAGTGTGACCGAAACTTGCACTGGCCGTTTCGTGCTATTGCTGGCCCATACCGACTCTACTCTCGGCCTAGATGTCACCGCTGAAGACGAGTCATGGCCGTCAAAGTAGGCTGGGGCCCCTAAATAGGTCGAGGACTCTCTTTTTTTATTACGAGCACCAGGTGCTCGACCAAATGCCTAAGTGAAGTGTTTTTGAGTAGGGTTTCGGCTGGCGATCTCCATGTCGGTGGGCGATTCGTGAGGTTGTCGGTGGCCGTGTGGTGGTTGAGTGAGGCCAAGGAAGGCCAAAAGTTGGCTTGGGTTCGCCGGCCAAACCTTGATTGACGTTTGGACCCAAAGAGGCCCCGGTCAAGGCTCAGCCGGCGACTACTTTGGCCGGCCATCAGACGATAGACTAGGTAGAAACCTCCTCAGGAGCTAAGGAGGGTGAGACTTTGGGTTGATCGAAATTGCCGGCAAAACGATGGAATTTGCCCAGCCGGCCTTCTCACCTGTCTATGACACACGAGAACTGGCCCAAAAAAAAACTGGCCTACAATCCTGGTCGGACCGGTCTGCAGGCCTAGCCTGAATGGTCCGGTCCCTTTTGGGCCGGCCTTTTCTGTCTGTATCCATTGAACTGGACCCCAACCAGGCTTGGTCCGATGGGGAACTCGGGTCACTGACTCAGGTCAGCCAATTCGGATCAGGTTCGCGGATCCGGGTTGGTTTTGACTGAACCCGGATATGATGACCCGACCCGGATATGATTATTTTATTAATTTAATAATATTTTTAATATATATATATTTTTTAAAAAATTAGGAAATAGCGAAAATAGTCAAATTTTGAGTATATTTTTTAAATGTGAAAATATTTCATAAAAGAAATTTTTTAAACAAGTCTTTAGGGCTATACCTTAGGGTTCTAAATGTCCTAAAAATCGATGTCATGTTGTTATTTGTGCAATTTATTTTGATCATTATGTAATTATATGATTCCAATATCTTGAATGTTGTCCTCTTAGTTAGGATTAGAACCCTAAAACTGCATATGCACTTTGGTTGTTACTTTAATCATTGTACATCCAGTCTACTTCACATGTTAGTGGATAGGCTTTGAAATCAATCCAAACAGCTTGAAAAAAAAAAGTTTTCAAAACTGAATAAGATGAAGGTATCAAAAAGGCATTAGTTATTTAACTAGTGTAATCAAATCTCCGGACTCATTTGAATCTTTGGTTCGTAGGAGTGAGGCGATTTTCCCGTCGCCTCACTTGGGTTTTTAATCGACCTTCCCTAAAGTGATTAGTGGTGACTCCTAGATAAAATTAATTTACATGTTAATAACTTGAATCTTAAGTTGTGAATTGATATGAGCTTGGGAGAAGCCCGAGTTAAGTCCTTAGGTTTAGACTTAGCAATCTATTAACCTCTTATCCACACCCTTGGCCCTTGAGGGCCGCTTGCGAGGAGGTTGCGACAAGAAATTTCTTGAGGAGAAAGTTGGTCCCAGTGAGCCGCTTGCTTGGGTTCAATTTCACATTGGAAGAGGCTTTTCAGGTACATTTTAGCATTATTGATAATTCTGTTCGGCTCCTTTGCTTTTTCCCCTTCTTCTTCTTCTTCTTTTTCTTTTGTTTTCCTTTCTGATAGCATGATTGTATGTGCACAAGTTGTGAAGGTCAGATAGGTGATAGCTCTCCCTTGAGCAGATGCTTTGCTGATTTTTGGTTGATTTTCCTTCTGCATATTCGGAGTGGTTAAATTTAGAAGCAATTTAATTGTGAAATAGTTTAGTATAGAAAAAATAATTATACTCAAGGGGAGGGAACCTCCTAGTTGCAATTATCTACACCTTATAAAATGAGACCATGGCCACAATTCCTTGAACAAAAAGTCAGGCTTGTCTAGATGTGTGACTTCCCTTAACTGGAGAAGAGATTTGCTGGCCTCAATTTAAGATTGTGTTTCATGAATATATCAAATTGAGAGTGATCAGTCCTGTCTGATAGTGGTGAGAATCCAGTGCTTAGTCCTGTTAAATATGAGAACCCCTTTCAGGGGAAGTACCGCAGTCTAAATTTGTCTGAGGACTAATTCAAGCTTGCTCTTGTTACTTGAACTTGCCTTTGCGTAGGAATGAACAGAAGAATAAGTTCTACACGGTATTATTAACATTTGACAAGAAACTTCCCTAAGTGATACTTGGTTAGGCTAATTCTCTGCTGAATCCTGTTCAATACATATTCCTCTTTCTGTAAGAACACCAGATTCCAACTATAATTATAGGCTCCTACTGGTGTAGCATGTAATGCAGCTTAATCTAGGTTAGATTCCCATGGTTTTTCCTACATCACACTGTGCTCAGTGTGCAGTCCATTTTCTTCACCCTTCATTTCCAAAACCATTATTGGATAATTGATTATTGTAATGTGTAATTGTGGTCCCTTACTAGTATAGCATGAAGTGAAGCTAAATCTAGGGTTGCTATTGCTATAATATTTCCCATGTGATTGTGCTGTACGCTTTTTCTTCACTGTTCATGTCAAAGGCCATTTCTGATTCTTCTAAGCAAAGAGTCTGAAAGTCCATTTGGTTTAGTTGTCGCCGTACTGTGATATATTGCAAAACCTATGTCTGGAAACATCGTGTGTTTAAATTTGCAACACCTGGAAATTGGGTGAAACTGCAACTGTTGGGTGTTGCAGCTGTGAAGTGTTGCCTTACACCGCAGAAAAGCTGAAGCACCTCCTTTCAAAGTGGTAACTACTGGACATAGCTATACTGCGTTTGGTAGTCCGGATTTCTAAACGGGATAGGACTGGATAGGATAGGATAAAAAATCCTAGGATTTCTTCATATCCTGTCCACTGTTTGGTGGACTATGGATTTAAAGTCGGATAGGATAATTTTTATTTTTATTTTTGCTATTCACGGGTCCGGAGGAGTCGGTGAAGGAAAAAAAGCCGAGAAATTTTTTTGGTGAAAATGCACAAGGTGTGGGGATGAAGATGACGGCGAGTGGAGCATAGGGTTTTTGGAAAAATAGGCATTAGAAATCCTATCCGGGTCTATCCCACCCCGGATTTTTTTATCCGGGCTATATCCGGTCTATATCCGACCTTATCCTATCATGGACCACCGCCAAACACAGGATAGAATAAAACATATCCTATCCTGGCTTTTATACGGTCGACCAAACGCAGATGAGTTTATTCAGTTCATTCTTTCTAGCTTCATTTGCTCGGGATTTTTCTTCTTTATTCCAATTTATGGTGAAGCATAACAGTTCTGATTGTTTTTAGCTGGTTTATCATGACTAGATATCTTTTGGGTGCTGAGTTTGCTTCATGCTCAAATGACATTGTACTGGACAAAATTTCTTGGATTCTTGATTGTGCTCGTTTTATTCTGTTAAAATAATGGATGAAAAAATTCAACTTTTAGAGGGGTAAAACGCATGCTTACATGTTCAGCACTTGAGAAGGTATTAGCGGACCATGCTGGAAAATATGCCGCGGGAGAAGAAGTTTGTCTGGTTTGATTTCTGGCTCTATCTCTTTGCTGAAAGCTTCCATCTTTTATTCCATCTTGTTTGTTTTCTATTCTCTGTCATGGTCAAATTTTCATAGCTGTTCACAGATCCATTATGCCTGTTCCTACTCTCTCTTTCTAGTGCACCATTAGGTTGATGTTAGGCAAATTGACACATCATGAAGCACATGTGACTCCGCACGTTTGTGACAGAATCACGAACTGACTGTTGGAACAAGAAAGCCCCATACTGTATCACTACTAATGTTAACTTTAGTAAGCTCGTTTTGAGAAAAGACACTTTTATGAGCTTCTCTGTCTTCTGACCACAACATAGTTTGGTGCTCAGATCTTGAGGATTAGCTGTTTATGCTGCAAATTGTCTGAACTCAAAAGTTCTTCCGGTCCTTAAAGGAATATGGGTCAAACATCTAGAAAGAGAATCAGTATAATTAATGAAAGATAGATAGTATGCTATGCTAATGTCTGTTTAACTCCTATGGAGAGCCAGGATCCCCAGTCTGTAGACTAAAAAGCTTGCCATCGTGTTTTATTTGTTATCGTTGGACGTGATCGAATAAGTAATGTGTAGGCCGATGTTTTCCTTGCACCCAAGATTTATGCGGCAGTCAAGAGGTTCAATATTGACATGGTAATTCTCTTGCCTAAGCATGCATAGTTCATATCATATGGAGTTCGGAATTAAATTTCTTTTTAAGTTACTCTTCTACAACAAACTTTAAATCAAGAGTGGCACTCGGGATTCGTAATGGTGCAGGACCATTATCTGTAATTTCACATTTGCTGGATAACAGAAGGTGCCCATAAACTGCACATGGATTAAATAAATCATTCCGAACACCATTTATACATGATTGACCGGGAAAAAAAAGAAAAAAACTCCATTTGCAAATGGTTGCTCAAATTTCATTAGGGCTCTTGCCAAACAATGAAAATTTCTGTTATTTTGTTTTCAGAATCAGTTTGAAAACATAAATTTGTTTATTAAATTTTTTTGTTCCCGGGCACAAATTTGCAAAAAATTATTCCCAGAATCAGTTTTGGAACAGAATCAAGAAGTAAGAAAAAATAACTTCTTGATTTTTGGAACAATTTTTCCATTTTCTGATTTTTCTTGGTTTTCTTCTTTCTTTTTGGTTTGTTTTCTTCCTTTGTTTTGTTCTTCTTCTTCCTGTCCTACCGTTGGCCACCGGCCACCGGCCAGGGCCGGCAAGGGCGGCTCGCGGCCGCAACGACGAGGCTTCACCCAGCCATGGCGAGGCCGACCTCACTGTCGCAACCCAGGCGAGGGAGATGGGTCGCGAAGGCGAGGGCGACGGTGAGGGCGGCGATGTCCTCGTCGGCCCTGGCCTGTGGCCTGTCGCCGGCGCCGGTGACTGGCCATGGCCAAGGCAGGGAAGGGAAAGAAAGAAAAAAAAAGAAAAAAAAAAGGAAAAAAAGAGAAAGAAATATTAAAATATTCAAAATAAAAAGAAATTTTACGTAGTTACCAAACGCATTTCTATTCATTTTCTATTCTAAGAATAGAAATTTTGAGCAGTTACCAAACGTTTCAAATGCTTAAAAATTGTTTCCGGGCACGGAATAAAAAAGAATTATTTATGAGCAAAATCAGTTTCCGAACACATAATCGTTGCCATGCGTACCCTTCGTGTCTTGGTTTATCATGATTCAAGAAATATCCAGGTCATTGCTCCTTAACTACTTTTGTAAAGTCAATATCCTATCTTGTCAAAGCTGCACGAGACATACCGTGAGATACCTGCTTTTAAAGATGCCATACCGGAAAATCAGCCAGATGCTCCTCAACCGCAAGCTTGGCCGACCAGTTGGTGCGACTGCGAAGTACTAGCTCGGGCAGCTGCTTTTAAGAATGTAGTGATTCTGATGAATAAAATTGCCTGAGGTCGAGAGCTATAATGTTTTGTTTTTTTGGGTCGAGATGCGGGGAATTATGTTGGATGCCTATATTCAACCACAAGAACATTTCTTTGGCTGCTCTCAACTTGTCATATATGCAACACCTGGTATACTATGAGAGTTTACTTCGGTCATACACTCTCTCTCTCTCTCTCTGTCTGCTGTGCATGCACCTGGAGGGAGAACCAGAGAAGATATAGCCATATCCATTTTCCTTCTATACAGGGAATTGTCCGTTTGCTTTATACTTCAATAGAAGGTCTATTTTGCTTCCAGTTGCTTGAACTCATCGAACTGGAGAATTTGCTTACCGGGTCGAATCCTCGTGGAAAAAGATGAGATTCTTAGGGCACGTTTATGTCACGGAAAACTCAAGATTTGAAAAATATTTTCCAAAAAAATGATCGCTTGTATTGCTTATGAAAATAAATGAACGTTAAATATTTTCATCGCTCAAAAAATAGTTAGGCATAAATTATTGTCAATAATGAAAATATTTTCTGTTGATTAATTTTTATAAGCGATATGACCAATCATCTTTCGTTTTTGAAAAATATTTTTTAAATCTTGAGTTTTTCGTGAAACAAATTCACCCTTAACATACCTCGGGAGTAGGATGCTAAAGCAAAATGCCATTTGAATAATAACGTTTTAATTGGAGCAATTAACGTGGAATCCCAGAGACGGGGAAGTTGCATGAGTATCCGAGACATTAGGAGATGAACTACACAAATTAAAGACATCATCCTTAATTCGTGTGTGCGTACCTTGCGATCTCCATCAACACGGTTTAAATTTTTTAGTCTTCAATGATGTAGTAGGGAGTCTAATTTGTAGGGGTTTGTTTCCACGTTTTGGTGAAGGGAAATTTATTATCGTTGTTATTTAAAAACTGGATTTGAGCCTACTGAATTTGATTCATTCCGTTTGATCGGATACACGCAGGAATAGATGAAGTCAAACATTTGATGGTTTGCGTTTCTCGTGAGCTCCATGAGGGGCGCCCACACGATCAATGGACGAAATGGATCCAATCCATTGGACTCAATCTATGCTAGAACTTTTTCTTGTGCATGAAAAATACCAGATCCGAATTTACTGGATTTGACCCATATCAGCCGTTTGATCAGATGGGCCACACATGAATCCCACTCTCGAGACCCACATATCCACGCAATCATCCACCGAATGATTGGGACTCAGGACTGCATTCAGACAAGAAATTCCCCTGGTGCCAGGCATCTCTGACACGATGATGATGCAAATCCATGAAAAGATATTGGATTCCACCGTCCTACGAATTTGCTGTCTTGACAGCTGAATGGTACTAAAGCCAATGAAACAGCTCAAAAGTACACCGAACCAACTTCTGTATTTTTTTTATTCCCGAGAGTTCACACTTCACCGAGAACATGAGACAGTCAAAATCTTGCAATTTCTGTTCCCTCGTTAAGGTCTGTTATGGTGTTCCCTCGCCGAGGAAAGGTCGGGGAATGAACATTCGTGATTTTAGCGTACTATGAAAAAATTAAAAACAAAGAGAAAATTTCCCACTCGGATGTCTTCCCTTCTATGCAGATGGAGATGAGAGCGGCCTGACCCGCGCTAGGCAGTTATCAATTGGCCTCGCATGGGGCAAGTACCTTGTTGCACATTCGGGATTGAGTCGTTCGAGCCTGCCACATGTACAACCAGGAGGTCATTATCATTTATCAGATGAGGGCTTTGGTCTACTGAATTTCCATTAAATCCATAGCAAGACATCCCTTTTACATCTAGGTGGGTGGTTATTACAAGACTTGCAGAACAAAAGCTGATTAGTATGGAAAGAACAATGGGTGTATTTTGGGTCGAAATGGGTTTAATATGGTTGTGTCTGATTGTGTTTTTATGGTGAGATAAGAGTTGAGCTTTCGTCTCAGTGCGGTCTGAACAGGTAAAGGAAATTAGAATGCTCCCAACTGAAGTACATTGCATTATTTCTATCTATTCGTTTTTGTTCTAAGCCTACTATGATTAGTTTAAGAAGCGACGCCACAACATCATAAATTGAGAACTAGCTGATTCTGATTTTACTTGAAAACCACTGCCCAGTTACATTCAAACGGTATGGACTCACTCCCTTACACGATGTAAGTTCTTAAGACCTCAATAAGAAGTGAATGCGTACGTTTGACGGCCTCCTGGTTTCTTTCTAATAGTATAACCTTTTCTTTTATTGCTAAAAACCTAACACTTATTAACTAGCTGGACTAGACGGAAAAGCAACGAAAAGAGAACAGGAATTTTAAGACAAACTCACCTATAGTTAAGAAGGAAATGATGCAGGAAAATCGCTATCTCAAGCTTTGCGAGATCATTTCCAGGGCACAGCCTGCTTCCTGCTCCAAAGGGAAGAAAACTTCCTGCTTTGGGTGTGTAACCCTGAGAGTCAAGGGGCGATATTACTCATTAGAAAGCGCTCTCACATCATGTTATTAACTACCAAGAGTATAGTACTTATGATGGCATCAAACTTACATCCCATCTAGAAGGATCGAACTTCTTTGGATTCGGATATATTTCGGGATCCAAATGAACGGTTCTGAACCAGACCAGAACTTTCCAACCCTGAGGAATAGTGTAGCCTGACGAAGATCAAATGAATTCAGCACAATCACGAGACAACAGGTGTTATATGTTCTCTTTGTAAGAGAAGAGAGGGGAAAAAATAACTCACCATTTATTCTGACATCTGATTTCGCTTTACGAAAAACCACCAGTGAGAATGTGATCAAGCGAAGTGTTTCGTCAATAACCTTTCATATTCAGTGAGAACTCAAAATCTGTTGCATTCTGTTGACTGCATAGAAAAGGATGATGCCAAATAGAGTGAAAACCGAAAGGAAAGTACCTTGGACAAGTATTCCATCTGCCGAAATTCCTTGAGGGTCAAACCCTTTTGTGCCGGTGGTCTCTTCTTCACGATCTCTTCTTGCTCCTCCTATCATGTGGTACAGAGAAGCTAAGATGCTGTGGGTAAAAATCATTACGGAGCTTGACCCCAATGCCAACAAAACAATGAAGTGTGAAAGTGAATCAAGATTTTCATGACAGATGGCCGATGAAATGGTTCGGCTCATAAATTGTATTTCCAAAAAGACCTTATAGAAATACCAAAATTTCATTCCCTTGGTTAAAGGCTCTTCCTGTCATTACGTCATCATGCTCTTAACACTCCATTGTGCTAGGGTATCGTACTGGCACATATATTGGAGAGGCTGATGCGAAGCATTTGGTGAAACTTATATAATGGAACTGTGGTAGAGTAAGGAAAAGCATATTGCCTTGCTCAAACGCAGAAGCTTTGCAAGATGATGGTTTCATGGTATGTCACATAGAATCAACGAATTAATAATGCCTGAGCTCAGTACCTTGGCTTTCTGAAGGAACTCCTGGTTCTCTTGTAGGAAGATGGTCGCCCACATTGTGACATGACCAGAAGATTCGTGGCCCGCATTTAAGTACATTAATAACATATCGATGATTTCCTCATCATTCAACTTTCGACCGTTTTTGTCTTCTACTTCTAGTAGAGCATCCATCATGTCCTTCTTCGCATAAACCTTGGTCTCCTTCTGATTCCGTCGTTCCTCCACTATGGATTGGAATATTGCCACTAGTTTTTTCCGAGCCTGATGTCCGTTTGGGAAAAAAAAAAAAAAGGTGCTGAGTATCTGATGAAGCTGGTAGTGATATTGACTGCAAGTCAACCATTCTATTTATGATCCATAGAGATTGAGATTGTTACTGGACTTCTATCCAAACTTACTTTAAAAATCTTAGATAAGAGGTTCAATGAGATTGGATTACGTCACTCAGTTCTTCTGTCGATCGGTTTTGGAATTGTAAGAATGAGTATTTACAACTGCCATGTTCCTTTTGGAGGTCAAAAGAATCGAATCACATAAGTGTTCTCCGTGCAAGACTATAAATTAAACATGCCTCAGTGAATCAATTCTCACCTTGAGTGCTTTGTGGTAAGCAAATCCTGGAAGGTTGATTGCCATGGCTCTAACACCGTGATTGAGAGTGGTGTATTCCCTTTCTAAAGCCTCCATCACCGGTTCGCTCTCTGAGCTAAGAAAGATATGCATGATTATCCTGAAGGTGAGCTTCCGGAGTTGAGTCAAGAACTCAATTTGCCCCATCTTTGACCACTTATCAAGCGCAGATATGACATTTTCTTCAATATATCCTATATATAGAGACAAAGCTTCATGACCATTGACTGGAGCGGCAGTCAAACGCCTAAGCCTTTTGTGTTCTTCATATGAAATCCCTACAAATGATTTCTTCCCGATCAATTCCTCAGTTGCAACGGGCCAACCAGGCTCGAATTTCTCATCATCGGTCAATACTCTTCGGCATGGCTCAGGCATGGTCACAATCACGCTCGGGCTCCCAAACATGAAGGCCTTGTAGATTCCGGTGCGACCGAATCTGCAAATGCCAACTAAGATTATTTGCAACATTCTATAGCCCAAGAACAGCATTATCTTATGAAATTTGTGCTCAACATTGGATGCACCAGGACTGCTGAAGCTTTCAAACCCCAAAGTCAAATAGGTATTCAGAGCAGAGAAGGTGAAATTGCATCCTTTTGTGCTTGAGCAGTTGAGGAAAATGTCGGATAAAATAATGCAATCAACAGAGCCAATCTCAATCAACTATGAAAATTTTCTTTTGTGAGACCGCTTTGAGGCCAGGCTTACACTGCTATGAACAGCAACTTCTCAGAGAGAGAGAGAGAGAGAGAGAGAGAGAGAGAGAGAGAGACCTGTTGATGAAGGAGGACATGAAGGAATCAGGATCGCTAGACTTGAAAGCCCTGAGGAAGGACCACATGTTCCCAATGAAAGGCCATCCGAGATCACCGGGAGGTAACGAGCGACGTTGCTCCTCATCAAGCTGGGTCTCATACAAGTACCAATTTGCATGCTTGAGAAGCCATGCGAGAGCCATCAATGCCACGAGTATCAGAAACGAAGCAGAGGAAACGGAAGAAGCGAACTCCATGACAGAGAATGGCACCACAAAAGCCTTTTCCTTAGCTTTTAGCTTTTCTCCACAAACAGCTGATGAGGAAAGAGACTTATGAGAGTGAAAGAGAGGAAGAGAGAGAGAGGTTTTAGAGAGTGGAACTCAGAAATGTCCCTCTCAGTCTCTTTCGGTGTCCTATGGTACAAATAAAAGAGAAAAGTACTGGTCAAACACATACCAGGATCACTCTCTCACAAGGATTTGAGAGGAGAAACTTCCACAGAGAGAAGCTCTAGATTTTTATTGCTCTTGTGAGAATGAGATGTCCAAATGAGGGGAGGAGACCCCTTTATATAAAAGTACAAACTCAACTGTATCTGTAGATCTCTCATCGATCTAACGGTAGAGATTGAATCTCCCCACCTACCATCTACCTGCATTTAATACAGAAGACTCTAGAACAGTGTACAATTACAATATTGCCCGCCCTTAGCATTATTCTAGAGAATACTCGAGAGGGTCGCCTGCTTGTTCATGGATTAGTCACGGTCTTTCGTTTAGAAACCCTCGAGAACGATCCATTTCTCTGGGCTGTGACACATGTAACATGGCAAAGAAAATTAACCCTCTCATATATATGTGTCTATTCCATGAGGAGCCCACTTTCTTTTGTCTTGTTTTACTACAATGATGTTGAGTGTTGAGCTTTTTGAACACTTCATGATCTCATCAGGTTTTCTAAAATCTTTTTGTCTCGACGTGAGCACATAACTGTTATGGTAGAAGATCTTTAGAAGGGGCACAAAGAGAATGAGACTCAAGTCCTAACTACCTTTATTCCATTAAGCTTTGAATCTCGAAAAGTCCAGTCACAAAAGATTTAGCATAGGGAAAAAGGAATGAATTAGAATGGAATGAGGAATGACATGGAATGAGTCCTCCCCTTTAATGTGCCAAGAAATTAAGCAAGAATCCAAATAATTAGAGTAAGTGTTTAAATGCCCCTAAAAGGGATTACAAGGAAAGAAAGACTAAAGGTACAACTGAATAAAATTGCATATGTTGTATTGAGGAATAGAATGGGAAATGAATTTCCCTGAAGAGACACCACTGTCGTGAGAGCACTACTCTCTCTCTCTCTCTCTCTCTCTCTCTCTCTCAACTTGATCTACACTACTTTTACCATAACTTTATGGATGTTTTTGCTTGCCATAAATTCTTCGAACACTGGAAAGCTAATTCCCTCTCATTTACATGCTCAAAACCAAATAAGAGAATATTGATCACTTTCCTTAAAATAAATTTTGCGTAAAACCATTTTCTTCAGCATATTTTTCATAAAACAAACACACCCTAGAACAAGTTTCTTCTCCAACTTCATCGACAGAGTCGTCAATAATAATAAAGAAAAAATAATCCCTTTGTAATCCTAATCACAATTTCCAAATAACATTAGAGAATTTGGCTGCAGATTTTAAGTAAAGATGAGAAATAATGGAGAAACTTGTGTGCAAAGTGACAGAGTTATTAATTTAAGTGGGGGCCCTGGCGGTGGGTTGCTGGGCTAGTCTCCCCGGAGGTATAGGCGCCCTGATTACCTGTGCGGGCTCGTCCCAAGGGAATAGTGACGGATCCTCGGTTACCAAAAAAAAAAAAGTGACAGAGTTACTGTTACTGTTATTAGCTAGATAAATGTGCAAAGTGACCCAGAAGATGAACACAAATAAAGTTGTGTACCGAGTCAAGAGCTTCCAACTTCATGCCAGTAGACCGAATGAAACACCGAAGATCGGGATCAACAGGTTGTATGTGCCTCCCACAGCCAAGGATGAGAATCTCTGAAATATATTACAAACAATACTCAGATTCAGAATACAATGCTGATACAGTCACATAATGTGATGACACAAGAAGATGCCCACTAGATAGTCTATTAAAAAATAGATAGAATTCCCCCATTGGAGTGACCAGTTTATATGAAAAATATGTCCGTCAGCAATTAATTCCATACTACATGCCTAAAAGCATAAAGAGTACAACAGGCACTCCCTTCATGAGATTAGATGCAATGTCGCACCCAGCTAAGATACAGATGCGGTAAACTTCTACTGTCCAACAGATTTATGGCTAATGAATAAACTCAAGCTACCAACGTTGCAGTTGAATGTTGGAAAAAAGCAATTTCCACAAAATAAGTAGATGAACCTTAAACTGTAGGCAGTTCATAGTCCACGTCTACTTGTTGTCAGACACTCGGTCTTTTCTACAATTATTTTTAGATCTTTTCTAACACGTGGGGTTTTTATGGGAGCCACCTCCTGGTACTCTTCTAAAAACTTAGTTGTAGGGGGGAAAAAGAATAGTCCACACGTACTTCTACCAAATAAAGAAGTTACAATTGTAAGGAAAAACATGCGTGCCAATTCTACAGATAGGATCACACATAGTGCACAGATTCTTACCTGGTATGGGTCGAACAGTCTGGAAGATGGACAAGCTGCAGAAGAGAAGAAAAGCACGCAAGGTAAGATAGAAGTCAAAACCTGAAAGAATTATAGTGCTAGCTATGGAAAAAGTTAAAAAGAACTTCGTATACGCCCAGCTCTAATACTCGAGAATATCTAAGGTAACACATCTCCTAAATCATCAAATAAAATGTTCAAGGAACTCCCAAGAGTCGAATCCAAGTACTGCCCCCACAATGTTCAAGGACCTCCCAAGAGTCAAATCCAGCTCTAATACGCACTATCCTGTCCAATGTCAAGTTAAGGCAGTATCCGTTCCATTGTCAAGTTAAGGCAGTAACAAATTCCATTTACAACTCATTCCAGATATACATGTTAGTGTCACTAATACAATAATTTTTTGGCTTCCATAGCAGAGTGGCCATGACATAACAGGGCTGATATTTTGGAGACTTTCTTCCAGCCACTTAACCATGTCCCCCAACAACTCCAACTATTCCACAATTCTTCTGAGGGACAATAACCACGCTATTGAACTTATATGATCACTGCCTTGATTAAGTACATATTCCATCTTGCACTCATGGATGATGTTGTTTCGGGCTTGGTATGTTGATGCACTACTTTCATGCGAACCCATACCAATGGTTAAAGAACGCCTCCCCTTCACTAACAGATGCAATTAGTCATGCACAAAAAGAACAAAGGTAGCGGAAATTCATCACAGTCTCGGTCACGGCCCTTCAATTTTCCCATCAAAATTCAGGCTCCAACCCAGCCTCCCAGTTTTCTTGATCATACGCGCGGCGTTTGGTGATTTCAAAGACAAACGATAGGGAGAGAGAAGACGAGCAATTTGCCTGTCGGGAGCTATGTCGGAGAACGTCTGTGGGCTCCAAGACATCGGCAGATTCCCCACGCAAAGCAAAGCTCCCCTCGTACATCACTCCATTTCACCTTGAAACCCGTTTCCGTGTAGCTGCGTATCCCACGAAGAGCGAGCAGAGAGACGGCCAGAATCGTCCCTAGGACGGAGGAGGAGGGTTAGAGGGAGACGGGCTGTTGGAACCGGAGCTGGTCCTCGGGGACGTTGTCGATGAGGTTGATCTGGCCGTGGAGGGAGAAGGCGCGCCGGAGCGAGGGGAGGAGCTGTTGGTTCGAGGGCCTCGGGCTCAGCTCGCGCTTCAGGCTGCGGATGAGGTCGGGGAGCCTCTGCCTCACCGCCATTGTTGCCCCTGTGTTGCCGAAGCTCTCTGCTCTCTTGCGGCTTTTCGCAGTAGGAAGAAGAAGACGCCGTCGATTCTGCAGAGTACGTCCTCGCTCCGAAGGCCGACGGCCGTTCAATCGGATCGGGTTTACCCAAGAAATCGGATCGGATCATCCAAAAAACCGGGAATCGGTTCCTGTTTGAATCAATCCAGGTACCGGTTCCAATTTGAATCGTAGAACCGTTCAAGATTTGGAACCGATTTTTAACTACCGTTAAAAATATACTATTACTATATTTTGGATTGTCATTTTTGTAGATACGTCATAGGGATTATTGTTTTTTGTGGATATTAATTATTATTATTCATCTTTTACTTTGAATTGTTTCGTTGCTACTCATATTATTTTGCTGGAAAAAATGAAACAAATAAAAAACAGGTTTTCGGGTAAATCTTAGAACTAGACCGGAAAAATAGGATAGGTTCCAAAACAGGTTCTAGGACAAATAGGATAGGTTCTAAATTTCAAATATTTGGAATCGGTTGATCTGGAATCTACCCACTTCGGAACCTGAAACCGATCACCCCTACATGCTTCGTCTTCGGCCTCCCCTGGAGATTTTCATCGGGCCGGGTCGGGAAAGCAAATTCTAGTAGAATATGGCCCACGTTATGGCCCTTTAAATTCGTACACCGTTGCTTGAATGCTTTCCGTTATTGGTCTGTCACTTTGTCAGTTTCGCCTATAGTTCATGTCCTATTTCCTTAGTGTCTAATCTCGGGGTCGATATTAGAGCGGAAGCTGGCCTTTACCAAAGTTAAAGCAATAGAGAGCTGGTTTTGCTTCGCGAATAATAGATAATTCGAAAAATAATTTTTTTAAAATAATTATTATATCATTTGAAAAATTAATTAAATTAAAAATATTTTTATTATTATCGTGAGTAATGAAATATTTTTTGTTCGTTCTTTTTTTGTAAACGATATAATCGTTCATTTTTATAAAAAAATTTTTTAAATAATTTATTTTCCGCGAAACAAGCACAATAAAATACAAAAAACTTAATTCTCTCTTAAGCCCATAACTAATCTTCTTTCTCCTTCTCATGTGGTTTCTTCTCTTCTCAACTCTTTCTTCTTCTTTTTGAAGTCATGAAAGTGGGAATGGGGTAGGGGTGTCAAATGGGTGGATTATGTTGAGTTTGAATCGGATAATAAATGATCCGACCCATTTAACCTGTTTGGACCCATATTCTTTTTTTTTTTATCGAATTGACCCATATTCATATAGTGCAAATCTGGCGACTCATACTCGATCCGACCCATACCCGACTTGACCCATATTCTAAAAGACTTTAATATAAAATCCAATTTAGAAAAAAACTTGATTCCAATTTATAAAAAAAAATTAGTAAATTAAATTTTTTATTTTCTTTCTCTTTTTTAATTTTATTTTTGAAAAATCAAAATTTTAATTATTTTTCTTTTTTATTTTTTTATTTTATTTTTCTTTTCCCTTCTTCTTCAACTGGTCGCCAGCCGCCAGTGACGGCCATCGACCGGCCACAAGCGAGCTTGGCTAGATCGACGAGCTTCGAGCTCAAGCTCGCTGATCTGGACAAGCTCAAGCTCGTCGGAATTTGGTGAGCTTCGAGCTCGAGCTCGCGAACTAGACGAGCTTGAGCTCGTCAGAATCTGGCGATCTTCGAGCTAGCCTATCTGGACAAGCTTGAGCTCGCCTTTGGGTGGTCGCCGGCCGTCGCCGTGACCGATCGAAGAAGAAGGAAACAAAAAAAGAAAAAAAATGAAGAAATGAAACGAAAAAAGGAAAATAAAAATAAAAATAATTTTTTTTAAAATTGACTTGTTATGATTTACTTAAGCTATTTAGCCTACAAGCTAATAACTTAAATGTGTCAAATATGGATTGAAATATGGATTTGCAACAAACCCATATTCGATCCATATAAACTTAAGCTTTAATGTTACAACCCCATGTTAATCTATTTTCAAAATTTTAAGTGACCCATATTCAATCTGAGCCCACTAAAAATGAGTTGATAAATAGGTTCTTGACCCATATTGTCACCTCTAGAATAGGGCAACGATTTGGCCAAGTCTTCATGTTGCAAAGTGGCTAAAGGTACTTGGTTCAAGCAATTGGACCAACAGGTGAAGCAGTGCGAGCGACGGACGTATCGATTATGGCTCGAAGTTTCCCGCTTTGATTTGGAATCGGCACAAAGTACGTGATTATCGAGATGTTTCGGGATTTTTTTGTGGGTGCTCGGAGACGGAGACGTGCGTAACCTTTCATAAGCCTTTTAGGGAGAACTAAAGAGCCGCCATTCGAAAAAAAGTCGAGAGCTCGAGAACACTCCTCTTTCATGATTGACTTTCGTGACGTGCATCTAGGATTGGGAGCCTTTCGAGCGATTGCGATATTCATTTTTCCAATTATTGTTGGATTTAGCGTTTTGAGGGAGACATTTAGAAATATCACCAAGGTGTGCAAGGGAAAGAAAAAGCTCATATATTTAGAAATATGCCAGGAGTATTATCCTCTTTCTCTCGCAAGCATATGTATTTCACCAATCATATCAAACGCAAATTCGTAACTCGTATAAATTAAGATATGTCCTTCAATATCATGGAAACACAAGGAATTTTTCATTCCGAATGAAAGTATAAAAAAAATATTTTTGAATTTGGGAATGATTCGATGGAAAATGTGGGTAGGGGGTTATTATCAATATGAATTATCTCCGTTTAGATGGTCGTATCGACTAGTACAACGCAAAGGGCGAAATAGATTCAATCAAATATGTGTAGGGCAACTTCGCTAATGAAGAAACTTTCCTTAATTCCACCTTGCTTTCACTTTCAAGATGATTGAGGGTAAGTCAATCCAGAATCACTTGAGTAAGTTTAATAATGTCATCATCAATGATCCGAAGGATGTGAACTAGAAGGTTTCTAATTTTGCAGGCTACAATATTGGTTTGTTCTTTACCCAGTTCTTACGAGCACTTCTCGTGATTCTTAGATGAGAGGGAGTGAGACTATATCCATAAAGCTAAAGAAAGCGGAGAGATCGGAGAGCGAGACAAAGATCGCACGAGCTAGAGGAGCGCAATTGCACCATGTTGTTTGCGTGCACGTCTATTGGTTCGCCTACAGATGAGTAGATCATGGATTCTGGATGCACATATTTCGTGATATCACTTGACATCACATGGGAGTCGGACTATGTTGGCAGGATCTGTAAGATGATCGACATGTTTGCTAACCTTACGTTGTAAAGTTGTGTCAAATCGCTTTCCTCACTCTTTGAAATGATAGAAATCCATAGAGCAACATTTCACGTCATGAAAAAGTAAAAAAATTTATTTTTCCCGATAGATCATGATGGTTTTGATTTTTTTTTAGTAAGAGTAGCTGTATCGGCAGTATTAAAATGGGAAATCATTAAATTTTTTCTTTTGAAAATGTCCAAATTATTTTACCGAATTAAAATAAACATGGGGAGTGCCGTCCTGAATGACTTCACGGTTAGGAATTTTTGTTTTCTACGATTAAGAAATTTAAAAATGCAAAAAAACGATATAGGATAATAATAAAAAAAAAAAGGGACATGGTTCTTTGGCCATTTTATGATTTGTCTTATTTGTCGTCCATAACATCCCCCCACACACACACTGAGAGCGGCGAAGCTTTGCTTGTGAACCGGTCTGTGTTTGTGATCAGGCGGCGGTTGGTGGTGGTGCTGGTGGTGGTAGCGGGCCGGGTGCGCCGTCGAAGCTGAAGCTGTCCAGCTACTACTAGAGGAGCTCTTGTTCCTTCTGCCCCTGCTCTCACTAAGTTGTTTATGCAAACCGAACCTTCAAGAACAACAATCCCATCCTTAAGACCGGCGAGGATTTTCCCCTACTCGCCCCTGCAGTCTCTCCTACTTCCACGATTATCCCGATCGCCGAGCAGCCATCGCCGGCGATTGAGAGGGCCGAAGAGGTGATTGCGAACTAGACCCTTAACTCTGAGCCCTTATGCAATGAGGTGATCCGCTGCCCGTCAATTGTTCGGATCCTCGTGTTTTGATCATTGTTAAGAAGTTGAATGTGTGAGTCTTTAGGTCCATTATGTTCTTGGGTATCAAACTCCCGTTAAAGATTCAAAAACTGATGAGTGCGACTTGGCTTGGATGATAAGTGATAGTAGACCACAAAAGAGAGTGTTATGTTTTTTTTTTAGATAATGACACAGACAGTCCCTGAAGTTTGGTTCAATGTGCAATTTAGTCCCCAAACTTTTAATTTGTTTAATGTAGTCCCTGAACTTTAATCTAATGTTCAATTTGGTCCCTAGACTTTTAATTTGTTCAATATGATCCCTGGACTTTTAGTACATGTTCAATTTAGTCCATAAATTATATGAAAATGTTGAATATAATCCATAAACTTGAATTAATGGAAGGACTGTATTGAATATTTTTAAATAGTTCGGGGACTAAATTGAACATGTACTAAAAGTCCAGGGACCACATTGAACAGATTAAAAGTCCAGTGACCAAATTGAATATTAAACTAAAGTTCAGGGACTACATTGAACAAATTAAAAATTCAAGAACCAAATTGCACATTGGTTCAAAGTACATGGACTGCTTGTGTCATTTTCCCTTTTTTTTTTTTTATGGATGCTACCAAGACTTGAACCATGATCAGAATAAGACAAAGGGAGAGAAGTAAAAGGATGGAGGAAAATGAGACCC